TGGTCGCTAGCGGACCATTGTTTTTTATAATTTTTTTATTTTGTCTTCTGTTTAAATAGCTATTTTTTCTTCTTTTCTTTCATGGTCGCTAGCGGACCATTGTTTTTTATAATTTTTTTATTTTGTCTTCTGTTTAAATAGCTATTTTTTCTTCTTTTCTTTGAAGTGCGATGGTGTTTCACTAAATTTAGCCAATGGCCCACATCTACAAGGCATCGCCCTGCTAAACATTCCTTACACACATGGCGGCTCGAATTTGTGGGGTGAACATCTGTCACAGAAACGTATACGCAAAAGCGCTGGTCCATTCCGTAAAGGGAAAAAACTTAAATCTTCGGATAAAGAACTTTCGGCGACAAGCTTTACATCTGTGGACTTATCAGTTGCAACGCAAGGTGAGTGAAATAAATAAAATACATTTGTTCAATATTGCATTACTTAGTTATACTGTTAATAATAATCTACAAGCGTGTTAATAACGTGTCAAAAGCATCGAATTTTTCAAAATGAGCAATACAGAAAATAATCCCAATCAAAATTCGTTGATCTCAATGTATGATACATATTTCTATTTAATACATTGAGTATAAAATTAACCCATTCATGGTTGCAAATCATTGTACTAACATTTACATATATTGTTTTTTTTATATGTTTTTAGCCCAAAAATTTTAATTAAAAATAATAATATCTTCATAAAAATAATTAAATTCAGTTAGAAACCTTTTCTTTTAATACCTTTTCATTCCACCTTTAGATTTGAAAAATAATTATTTTATTTGTTACTCCAATTTGTAATTTAAAAAAAAATTCGAATTTTTTATTTCGTTTTTCGGATTAACTAAACTTGTTTCATTTTTTCCGATTCCGATTAAAACTTTTTAATAATAAATTCGCAAACCTGCATTTACATATATACATAGATATACATATATAGTTAAATACTTATAATAATCATTAGACTCACCCTGTGAATTGTTATTTTAAATTAGCTGCGTATAAATGACATTAACGGCACTTCTTCCTGCTTCCACACTTTTGCTGCACATAGCGCTTCGCTTTCCAGGCCTTTGCAAAAAACGCAAAAACAACATATAACAATAAATAAACTGCAGCACATATTTCCTTTTACACTTACAAAAGCACTTCACACATATTTCACATATTCACACATTTACTTCGTGAAATTTACTTCCTCTTTTCTCATCGCGCACAGCATTTTTATTTCCCTTTCAGGGTGCTTCTTATAAGATGCGCAAAAAACTTAGCACTAAATATCCTTGCCTACATGAATATTTTCTTTTCACAAACAAAAACACTTTACCCTTTTTAATTAATATTATTCACTATTACTTAACAATGAACCAAATATAACAAACAACATTTTTAATAAGACTAAACTGCAAAATTTACCACCAAATTACACTTTCACTCATCTACGCACGCGAAACACACACACTTAACCGAATAACAAAACCGAACTGACGAAGCTTCCACTTTTGTTATTGCGTATAGTGCTGCTACTTCCAATATGCGGCGACATCTTACGAGATATTCCTTTGCGCAGAGGACTTAGCAACGAATGCATTTGCATACATATTTTCTTTTTGCAAACAAAAGCAGGGAGTTATTCACTTCAACTCGTCTTTCACTTTGTGAATACACTGATTAACAGGTCTTTTAAACAAAGTTTGTAGTAATTTATACGAAATTAATACATACAATACGTTCACTTAACTATTCGCGCGAAAGTCACGCCAAACCGGACAACGATTTAAAATAAACTAGTCAAACGGAACTTGACAAAGTGTAATACTAAATAACAAGGTGATCCAAAATTTTAGAAATATTAAATTATTAAATAGCTTTTAAGCCATTTGTAATTTATATATTATATAATATTTAGAATTATACTGGAATAAACATAGTTGATATTTAACCTATAATATATATATGCTTATTATACATTCATTATGTTTTTTGTAATATATAACACTTAAAGTCAACAGTTTTTATTTTTCCTATATTTCTTTTTCATTCTATCTCCCTGTAGACTTTGGCGATCGCCTGATTGAAGTTATTGGTTTGGAAAATTGTCTACACATGGGACAAGTGCGCACCGGCTTACGCGCCTCCGGTCGACGTTTAGCACAATGTAGTGAGGTCATTATTAAGACGAAGAAAACATTTCCAATGCAAATCGATGGTGAGCCATGGATGCAGGTACCTTGCACGGTATGTACAATAAACAATTCATCCAAATAAATGAAAATTAAACAGTTCAACATTTTTGCACTATTCTTCCCTCTATACCGTTTAGATAAAAGTCACTCATAAGAATCAAGTTCCTATGCTAATGGCACCACGTTCCGAGAAGGGTAGAGGCTTCTTCAATTTACTATGCAGCTGATTTCGGCGGAGCGTTTCCGCTAGTAGTTCCATAGCACAGCCACTGATGGAACGACACCAACAACAACACAAAGAAACCACCGTCCAACACATAGAATAGCTTTAATTTTAACGCATTACAACAAAAGTATGCGGAAAAAGGAAAAGGAAATGAAATAAACGAACAAAAGAAAAATAGTGATGAACGTATATGTGAAACAGAGAAATACAAATGTTAAAAATGTTAAATACAACCTATTACTAATATATGTATTTAGAAATAGCAACAGTTGTAAAAGCGAAGAACTACAAATTTTAATGCATTCATATTGTGAGCTTTAATTTATTTTATTACAGCATATTTTAGTTTAACAACAAATTGTAATATTTTAGGAAAATAGTAAATTTATTAGAAAAATAATGTTTATAATAGTGAAATACATGATATACAACAATCTTTGTAGAAATATATGCTTGTATATAAAACGCCACTAAATAAGTTTAAGGTTAATATATAAATAATTATAATAATAAATAAATACTAAAATTATAAAACAATAATAAATATCAAAATAATAAAATAGTAATAATTTTTTGATTGACGCTTTGATTATATAGTTGCCCAAGTGCTTCAAAGGCTTAACCAAAATATAAGAGTCCTAGCCATTCTAAAGCTTACAATGCGCTATTTAATTTTCGTAAAAAATTTTTTTTTTTTAATTTTTAATATTATGTAGCTAACTGTTAAATAAACTGTCAGCGAATTTAGTACTAAATATTATAATGGCCTTGTGTGCGTAAAAATGTGTATACATTTATATATATAAATATTTATTAAAAATTACTGAACAAACTCGTCAAGTCTTAAAATACTTGTAGCTTTGCCTTAGTTGTAATGGTTAAATCAGTGTAAATATCTGTATAATAAAAAAAGCAAATAGTCAATTTGATTTCTAAACACAATCTTCGTTTTTATTAAATACATTAATTATTTTGATTTGATTGAATAATTTAATTATTTGTCGTAAGTCGTTAAATTAATTTATATACAATGAGTAACAAAATAAATAGAGAATATATTTTTTATCTATTTGTTATATTTATAATTTTTTTCTTTTACTTTAGTTCTGCCAACCTTACCATTATCATTAATTTATAATTATTTTTAGTTATTAAAACATTTATTAAAGCTCACCCTGTTGTCTTTGTTTACACGTTCAAAAGTATTTAAATTTGCGTAATCAAAAACTATTAGCTCAAATCATTGTTTTTTCTACATATGTTACATATTTTTACTAAAAGTATATGAATTTTTTTAAATAAAAAGTTCTCATCACCGCTTTAAGGTGAAATTTTCGTTTTATGAACGCAGAGTTGTTTTAATATGCTTTGCTTTTTGTTTCTAACATTTAGAAATATTTTGTTTATTTATCTGTGTAAAGCATAGTAAAACTACTTAAAAATCACCGATATCAAGTGTAAATAAATATTATTATGATATCGGTATATATAAAAGAAATAACAATATCGTGACGGAAAATATATCAGTAAATGGTGCAGCTTTAATGGAATTTTCAAAGAAATCAAATTGCATATTTAATATACAAATTATTACAATACATACATACATACTTAAATAGTTATAAAATACTACCATAGCGCATATTCATATATGCACATATGAATAGTTATAACATATATGAATTAAAATAAACTAAAATTAAAGATTACAAACAAAAAATAATAATTTCAGAAATAATGACTATATATGTAGATAAATAACTAGTTTCGGGTATATATTTAAGTAATACATAAAAGTATATAAAGTACTTCCATTTATATGCCGCATTGTGTTAACTATTTTTTCCAGAATAGCTCATCTCTTTTAATTTATAAGGTCAATTTATAAATATATTGTAAAATATTCTGGTGGTGTTAAAAACGCCATATCACTTACTTCAGAGTACTCTTTTTATTTTACCATATACATTTTTAATCAAGACAAACCAAAGCCTGGCTAATTGTTATATAAAATGTGCCCTTCAACTAAATTGTTTCAATTTCAATTGAATTTATGGATTTCGATTATAATGCCGTCCGTTTAACCAACTGCTAAGATTAAGTCTTTAAGTGCATAACTTATGTGCAAAAGAAATTGTTTGAGTTGAAATATTTTTGCTTTCAAACCCACATTCACAGGGTTTATAACATATTATTAAAAATACATCATATGTATATTTAAAAATACATTATATGTATATTTATTTGCATTCAAAATGTGCTTTTTCTAAATTAAAAAAAAAAATGTTTAAAAAACTGTTTATTAAAATTTTTTTAATAATGTAATTACTTCAAGAGTTAAATAGGTTTACATAGATTTGCATATACTCAATAGTAAATATGTAGATATATTGTGTACATAGTTATATACGTATGTTAGTGGTAGTTTGTAGTCTAGGCATATTGTATTGAGTTTTTAGAAATTGTTTCAAACGAAATAAAAAGCATTTTTGAAAACATATTTCATATGCGAGCATACACCACACAACACATACATATAGACGTGCATTAATGCATGTAAATATGTGTGAGTTAGTGTGCGTGTGTGCGTTTGCTATGAAATAGAACACCACAGTAGGAGTTAACATTAATTATAATAAAACAAAAACAAACATACATATTTAAAATTAAAATAAAATTAATAGAGAATTATATACATGCATACATACAAATATAAAGCTATTTACACATATATATATGTAATTTGTAGTAAATATATAGAAAATAATTCGATTAAAAAGTGTGTTTAATATATACATACATACATATATATACAACTAGTTCGAGCGTAAAGTATTGGAAAATTGCAAATTTTGACTAAACAAAATATATAATACATATACACACAAAAATTTTTCTTTTTTCTATATTTACAGCATCGAAATATTAAAATTTTAATTTTTTGAAATCAATTTAAATGTTTAGTTTTTATAACTACAAAAAGCTTGCAATTTTTAAACACATGTGCATTACAGTTTGTGAAGCATCTGCTTAATTTTTAACTATTTAATATATTTTTTAAATAATTGACATATTTTAAAGCAGCTTATTTTATGCTTGTAGTGACATTTTGTTTACATTAACAACAAAAATAAATATACGAAAGCATTTAATGGCTGCAAATAAACCAACAATAACATTTAATATTAAAAGTATGCATATTTCAGAAAATTAAAATATTAAAAAATAACTATTTATTGCAAGCATTCATTATTGTTTCAATTTATGCTCGAAGCTGCTATAATTTGTATGCTTATTATTATTTTTTTTTAAAGCAAATATTTTATAGAAGAGAGATTTTCAAAAATCAAAAATATATATATAAACAGAATAATAATTAGTTGTAGGTGTTTAAAAGTGTGGTTACTGCTGCTAAGTCCATATTGAATAAAGCAAAAAATAAACTGTAGACGAAAATAAATATCAGTAAATATTCACTGAAGTTAAAAAAGGAGATGCCAGCGCTTTATCAATGAATGTTGCAGTTTAAAGTTTCAAATATAATTGTATGTTTAGCATGTTGAGATTTGAAGATTAGCAAATTATGCAGGTTAGTGAATGCATTTCGTTATGATTTTATGCATTTACTGTTTTTTTCCAAAGCTTTTATTTAAACAAATACACTAAAGCATTTATGCTTCCAAAACCTAAAAAAATTTGGATATGTTTGGAGTTATGTATAATATACACATAGACCAAAAACTTCCTTAACGGAATCTGAATATTAAGCGTTCACTACAGTTTTGAATGCACGCAAAAAGGCACGAAAGCTTATAGTATATTTTTCAAGCTACAGCATAAATCCTGGTGGTTTACACAGTTTTATAAATTAAATTAAATTGCGCATAGTTTTGTATATAAGCATTTTTATACTCTTAAGAGTGTCGCAAAGTTTGTAACGTCCAGAAGGAAATGTCGGCGACCCTATAGCCCAATGTCCGTCCGTTTGTCTATATATGAACTAGTCTCTCAGATATCGATCTAAAATTTTGCAACCGTGCTTTTCTCCCCAAGAGACAGCTCATTTGTCGGAACCGACGATATCGGACCACTGTAGCATATAGCTGCCATACAAACTGACCGATCGAAATGAAGTTCTTGAACCTATGAAGAGTAATCAAACTTTGTTGCAAACGTGATTAATATTTTTTCTTGTTTTTATAGATTTATTTATTTATTTTCTTTTTTACTTATAAGTGGTGTATTTGAGAAAGAAAAATATTTATTTATTTTTAAGTAGCATTAACTAGTATGACAATTAGGGAAATAATCCATACAAATTCCATATATACTAATATTTGCTTAAAATAGTGAATGTAATTATATACAAACTTATATATATATATATAAATATTTATTCCAATGTTAAAGGAAATTTAATGCACTCTAGCGAATGGAAATCGAATAATAGAAATGAAATTAAAAAATAAATACCAAAAATTGCTAAAATATCAACTGCTAATTAGCTGCAGCTTTTGTTATAAGCTTAAAAATATGTAAAATAAAAAAATGTTAACTTTACAACATTGATTTGGCATAGCTTGTCGCTTACGATTTTACGCTGTTAAATATTTACCTAAACACTAAACTAAAACAGTTTGCTTTTGTTGTGGTTTTGCAGTTAACTGATTTATGTAATTTTCTATAACTGTTACAATTGTTTTTATGTAATCGTAAATGTTAAAAAAAAATATGTAAAATAATAAAGTAAGCATTACAACGTACATACATAGAAATACAATATATAAATAAAAAATAAAAATAAAATATTCAACTTGCAGCTTTATTTAATTTGTGAAAATAAGTAGATTTTATTTTTAAACATTTTTTTTTTTACAATTTGGTCAATATTTAGCAATCTAGCTATCAGTATACTCCTTGCCATATTCATTGCATAAATTTAATTGCACATACGGTCCCATCAAGCTGATAAATGTGAGTATACGATTACGACTGTTGCCCGCTTGCGCCAGCAACTCCGCCGTACGGCAGGGATGTATTGCTATATATGGTTTGCCAATCACGGGGTGATCCAATTGCGTCATAATACTCAGCATATCCGCAGCGTTTCGCGGAGCTGTTGCATCCACACTACTGGCATTGCTGACATCGTCGCTGTAGTCACGAAAAATGCGCCAGGCTTCTTCGACACACAACATGCTGCCGTCTAGTAGAGAGAGTCAGAATGTTAATTATAATATTTATAATTATTTTTGTGCTACTAACCATTACGATAGATGCGAAAATACAAAACAGGCACTTGATAAGAAATACTGTAAACAATGTGATATTCGATTTTGAGTAAATCATTGCTTGGCGGCAACGCCGCAGTTTCATTTTCTATACAGTCGGTAGTCTCTTTTAGAGCATCAATACCACTTTTTTCATCAACAGTGTTTATTGTTTTTTGTTCGTAAATAAGATAAGCATTGCCCTCTTGCTCATCCTTTTATGTACAAATCTTATAGTTGAATTTTCATCTTTTTATTGAATTTAATAAATAATACCTTCTTGTATAAAGTCCAAGTGTCATCCAGGCGCTCAGAAATCTTTTGGAACTCCGTAGCTTCTTGAAGAAACTCCTCCCAGCTCAGTGTAACGATTGACATTTTCAACTTTATTTAAACTATTTATTTCGTGTCTTTTGTTGGTTTTGTTAGCGTGAAATAGAGCTAAAATAAAAGTATTGAATAATATTATTAAATAAAAAATAAATTTGAATTTTAAGTATCTAATTTATAATCAGCCGACTGCGTGCTATTCGATCAGCTTTTGGTAAAAAACTTTTTATAATTTATATAAAAATGAAAATAAAACAAGTAAAAAATATTAACTTCGGTTGCACCTAGATATAAAACCCTTCCCCAATACAAAAGATTGCATGAAGGAACTCAATTTTTATCGGTCAGATCATCACAGCTCGTCATGCTGATAATTTGTAAATATACTATTGTATTTTATAGGGTCCTCGACGTTTCCTTCTGGGTGTTGCAGACTTCGGGAAAACTTAATCAGGGTATAAAAATAACCAGCCCAAAAACTTTCTACAAACACAGAAATTATTAAAAAAAACTTCAGCTTTGTTCTCAATTCATATTATCAACATTTATTTACTTAAATAGTTGCTAAGTATATTTGTGATTGATATTTTTGTTCTATAGACGATATGTTTTGTAAGCAGACAAACAACATCTATACCAAGCGTATCATAACGTATACTTAAATAAAAATTAAACTTAAACGGAAAAAATATTTAAAATACAAACAAGCACAGCAGTTGAAATGGAATATTTATGCCAACCGTTGTAAAACAGAATTTTATTAACATAGCTGCAGTTGGCAACGATTGACGATTGATTAACTTAAATACGCACTGTAGCAACTGCAGTTTGGCTAAATATGCAGGAGCGATGAAGATTGTGTGTGACCATGTGATATATGCATATACTACTTTAATATTTTCGTTTTAATTTAACTTGAGCTCCACTATCTGTGTCAACCATATGTATAGATCGTTTGAATTAAAATCCTCCAACATTTTTACATAATTATATAAATATGTATTTACGCGAAGGAATTCGTTTTCACTCTGCCACTTCTTCGTCCTGCACATTTTCCGTTCTACGGATTTGCACCACTGTTACCATTGCGGCTTTGTCATCGAATTTACATGTGACAGTTACTTCGCTTAATTGAAATGTGAATATTTGTGAACCATATTTTGTACGCAAATACACAGAACGCGGATCGGTTTCTAAAATGTCTATTATGCATTGTCGATTGACTTGTAACTCTTGTAATTGGGTTTCGGCGCGCTCATTAAAGCAAACCTTTAACCGATGACTTCCAGCAACCCAATTGGGTACTTTTACAGCACTCAACGGCGGTGAAATGTGGTTAACTATATTGGGAGGTGTTGAACTATGATAATTCCCTACACCACTACCACCGCTACCCCCAACAGTATCATCACTACTACTATTACTTCCTCCTGTAGCACCAGCTGCAAGCAATTCAAGCTCTGATTCTTCACCATCCGGCTCTTGGCGCGAATCATAAAAATCAAGTGTTTCCAGCGGACCAACAGAAATGCGACCTACGCGGTGTAAAAAATATAATACTTTATTTTTTGATTCAGAAAGATATGTTTGGAATAATTACCAGAGTCCATTGGCAAAGCTGGCGAATCATAAAACGGTATAAATGGTTTAATATCAAGCAGTGGTGTACCATCAACCATATCGGTTCCGAAGAATGTAATCGTTGCTCCTTCCACTTTTTCAATTTCCACCAAGGACAAACCGATTGGGCAGGGACGATGCGGTGAACGTGTGGAAAATACACCCACACGCTCACCACCTAAACGCGGCGGTGCGACCTTGGCCTTCGGATGTGCATTGTTTCTATGAAAATGGTAAATTAGCCACATATGTGAGTATTCTTCTAGGCCGTCCAATGCATGTTCTGGATTTGTAAAAGTATCGGAGTTCAACTCAACAATGCCACGCAACCGACCACCTACACTCGACTGTCGAGGTACACCACGTTTTTCTGGAAATGCCGTACGTATCACGCCGATTTGCTGCCAATGCACACCACTGAACGCCTCTGCGTTTAAGTCCTGAAACATATTTTACAAATAATGCAGTGTCAATAATTAGAATTTGCTCGGGAAAGTGTTTAAGCAACACTTTCATGTCAACAAGTTACATTTACATCTAACTGCTGATTTTGCTTGGGTGATACATTGCTATTGCGGGTGTTTTCCTCTGCAGTTTGGCGACGACAACCCTCGCAACGAAATTCTCGAAGCAAACGGGCCACACTATCAATATCCTTTCTTTGAACGTGTTGCAAATTGCGCACTTGTTGTCTGTAATTGTACACAAAAGAAATGGAAAATTTATCTCAAAATTGTTAACTTTAACATATGTATTCCATCATACCTCAATTTGTTGATTTCATTGCGTGCGATGGTTAATTGATTTTGCAGCGCCAACATTTCATTCTCTAACATGATGTTTTCCGTGTACGACTTTTACATATATATTTAAAATAACACTACATTTACTATTGACACTAGATACAAATCATAAATTTAGACCGGTAAGTATTTGCGAAAAAATATACCTTTTTATTTTTCTATTTTAGCACTGACAACATAAACACAAAAACTATACCACACAACTTCTTGCCGGCCAGGTCAGGGTTGCACAGCAAGTCATTTCAACTAAATTTATTTACCAACATATAATGTCAAAAAACCAGTAATACTCATCATTTAAATATAAAAACATAACGTTTAATAGAAATACTTAAATTTTGTATTGACATACCACATATATTACAATAAACTTACCCTAGGTGACAGTTGAACACTAGCTAGGAACGAGTACCCTAACCCATTGCCACTTGGATGTGCAATGACTTTCCCGCTCTATCCTATTACAATTATAGCAAGTTGTCTCTTTCTATGCTGAACTTTTATACTTATGTGTTATATTGGCTAAGTGATTTGCTTAAAACCAAATACCCGTTTGCTTACAACATCTACACTAACATTGCTCTTATCAAAATTCGCTTAATAACAACTAATCACCTGCGATTCTTTGTGTTCACAACCCAAAAAAGAGCGCCCCAATGAACATTGAACCTGACGAGAAATTTTAAATTTATTTTGCTTTTATCTTTCTTATAATAATATGAGAATTAACGGGTAAGAAAAAAAAATTATAGTATTTATTGTTGACCTTAAAGATCCTTCGCATCGCATTATTTATAGGACACTACGTGGTAAGACGGTATTTATAACCGGCGCCTCGAGAGGAATTGGAAAAGCAATAGCATTAAAAGCTGCACGCGATGGTGCTAATGTTGTAATAGCAGCGAAAACTGCGCAACCCCATCCAAAGTTAGCTGGCACAATTTACAGTGCAGCAAAAGAAAGTATGTAAATGTTTAAAATGTAAAGGTGATTTGTAATAATTCGATAACTTCATACACAGTTGAAAATGAAGGCGGCAAGGCTCTGGCATGCATTGTAGACGTCCGAGATGAATTGCAAGTACGCAAAGCAGTTCAAGCTGCTGTGAAAAAATTTGGTGGCATCGATATTCTAATCAACAATGCCAGTGCCATTTCACTAACAGCAACACTTGAAACGGATATGAAACGTTACGACTTGATGCACAACATCAATACAAGAGGCACATTTCTGGTGTAAATATTTAAAAATACGCTTCTACTATTATTTATATTCAATATCATAAAATTATTCATGCAGCACGAAGGAATGCTTACCATATCTACTAAAAAGTAAACATGGACACATTTTGAATATATCACCACCGCTCGTCATGTCACCACATTGGTTCAGTACTCATGTAGCCTATACCATGGCCAAGTATGGCATGTCCATGTGTGTACTTGGCATGGCTGAAGAATTTAGAAGTCAGGGTATAGCGGTGAATGCGTTATGGCCACGTACAGCTATCTACACAGCAGCGGTTGAAATGCTACAAGGAGCGGAAGCTTCTCAGTACTCACGCACACCTGAAATAATGGCTGATGCAGCATATGCAATACTCTGTAAAGATCCAAATACCTGTACTGGCAACTTCTTCATTGATGAAGAAGTCCTAATTGAAGAGGGTGTGCAAGACTTAAAACGATATGCTTGTTTCCCCGAAAACGCAGACAATCTTATATCGGATTTTTTTCTACCGGAGAAATACGTTTCGAAATTATAAGCTGAATAAATTTCGATAATATTTGCAGATATTTTTTAAGAGTATTGTTATAATCTGGTGGAATGCATTAATAAATAAAGGACTATATGTACATAACATATACATCTACTTCTATATACTTATGTGTGTACACACATAATAATTTATATAAATAACACTTTTATTACCTTATTCTTTGCATATACATATGTACATATATGTTTTCGTAAATATGATATGTACTCATAGAAGAATATACATATTAACTTTTTTATAAAAGCTCTCTTCGTTATCTTCAGCCGTACACTTTGCCCTCTTTACAACAACCTGTTCACAGCTACTTTTGTTGCGTTAATATTTTGTTAGCCATATAGTTCAGTTGTATTCATTGAAGGCTTGCGAGTAGATGAAATTATTTATATACATAAATTATAATGCAGAACGTTGGGTAAAGAAATTGCAACACTTGGCACTTTAAATACTCATAAATTTTATAAATTTAGCACTTTACGTGGTAGAACATTATTTATTACGGGAGCGTCTCGTGGAATTGGTAAGGCAATCGCGCTAAAAGCTGCGCGAGACGGTGCTAATGTTGTAGTAGCAGCCAAAACAGCTGATCCACATCCCAATTTGCCAGGTACTATTTACACAGCCGCAGAAGAAAGTGAGTAAAGAAATCGCCACACAATGTTTTATATTTACATACATACAAGTATGTTTCGCAAATATTTCGCATGTATAAAATAAATACATATATTCTAATAGTTGAAAAAGCGGGCGGTAAAGCATTGGCCTGTGTTGTTGATGTTCGTGATGAAGCGCAAGTACGAACTGCCGTGCAACAAGCTGTCGCTAAATTTGGTGGAATTGATATTCTAGTCAATAATGCCAGTGCGATATCATTGACTTCTACTTTGAAAACTGACATGAAACGTTACGATCTCATGAATAGCATTAATAGTAGAGGTACATTTTTGGTGTGAGTTATAAATCAGCACATTTAATTTAAATATTAACTAAACATCCTTTCACAGTTCGAAGGAATGCTTACCATATTTACTGAAGAGCAATCATGCTCATATTTTGAATATTTCACCCCCTCTTACGCTAACACCTAGGTGGTTTGCTTCAAATGTGGCTTATACAATGGCGAAATACGGTATGTCAATGTGTGTATTGGGTATGGCTGAAGAATTCAAAAATCGTGGAGTAGCGGTTAATGCGTTATGGCCGCGCACAACGGTACATACAGCAGCAATAGAGATGCTGCGTGGTCCCGAAGGTGCTAAATATTCGCGTAAGCCGGTTATAATGGCTGATGCAGCATATGTAATACTTTCTCGTAAACCTAGTACCTGTACTGGTAACTTCTACATCGATGATGAAGTACTAAGTGAAGTTGGTGTAAAAGATTTCACGCAATATGCTTGCTATCCTGAAAATGCCGACAAGTTGGAGCTTGATGGATTTTTGCCAGATAAATATTATAAATCTAAGATGTAATAATTATAATATCTAAATATTTAATGACTAATTGTATGTGTAAGTATATTTTATACACATATATATTAAAAAAATATAAAGTTATACAAATTTAGAATAAAATCATATAGTCTTTCCAATTTACGAGGCCCCAAAACTATGTTGGATTTGCCATTCAAGTTTTAAAGTTTTGGTTTTGTTGGAACTTCCAACAATTTTCAAATTGAAATTAATAGTTCACTTTTAAGAAATATTCGTTACAGTTATTTGTAAGTGCGTAATAATTATTTATTAAAAAAATTGCATACGGCATGACCAGAAATAAAAGAATTGACAGCAGTTTGACAATTGTGAATATTATCTGATGAAAAGAAGAAGCAGAATTAACAATTTGCTGGTCATTCGAAGAAATTTGTTTTCCATAGGTAATTAGCAGCTTTTATATATTATTAGACATGAATATTTTGGAATTGAATGTTAACATATACTAATATAACGAATATATGTTGTGTAACTTTTAGTTATTTATTTTGTGCAGTAAAAAACCATAAAAATGTCGCGTGGTAGTTCAGCCGGCTTTGATAGACACATTACTATTTTCTCGCCCGAGGGACGTCTCTACCAAGTGGGTAAGCACAAACTAATAAAGCTAATAAAAATATTAGTCAATATATTTATCTATTAATATATTTGTTACACATGAACAGAGTACGCCTTCAAATCTATTGATCATGAAGGTCTTACATCGGTAGCATTAAAAGGCAAAGATTGCGCTGTAGTAGCTACTCAAAAAAAGGTAGCCGAAAAGCTGATTGATCCGGAAACTGTTACACATCTATTTCGCATTACCAAAAACATTGGTTGCGTGATGACTGGACGCATATGTAAATAGTTACAATAAATTAAAATTTGTTTTTTTTTTTACATATACACGTTTACATTTTAGCTGATAGTCGATCACAAGTACAAAAAGCGCGTTATGAAGCTGCAAACTTTCGTTACAAATTTGGCTATGATATACCAGTAGATGTTCTGTGTAGGCGTATTGCCGATGTTAACCAAGTGTACACGCAAAATGCTGAAATGCGTCCTTTAGCATGCAGTAAGGATTACTAACAAAAAAAAAAGTAAATGCAGGTATACATTTGTATTTTTTTTTTGCAAAATTTCAGGCATGGTACTTATCGCCTACGACGATGAGTTGGGACCTGCAGTATATAAAACTGATCCTGCGGGTTATTATTGTGGACTAAAAGCTGTTGCGGTCGGCGTAAAACAACAAGATGCCAGAAGCTATTTGGAAAAGAAATACAAAAGTGAATTGTCGACAGAAAAAGCCATACAGCTAGCTATAACTTGTTTATCGCAAGTTCTACAAGTAGATTTCAAACCAAGTGGTATTGAAATTGGCATTGTCACCAAGGACAGTCCAGAATTTACAGTGTTGGAAGAAAAGGAAATCGAAGATCATTTAACAAAGATAGCAGAAAAGGACTAAATTTAATAATGGGGATTTTTTACTTTTCACATTAAGATTTGTTTTGGTTTCTTTGGCTACAAGCTTTAGCAAACTAGCCAAAAATATAGCATAAAAACGTAATAAAAAAGTAAAAAATATGATTTTTGAAATAATATAACTGAAAACTAATCGGTAAAGTATAATTTAATGAAGGAAGTTGAGAACATTCAAACAAAATTTCTTTTTATGACGAATGGCCATATTTCGATTTATAATCGGTATATATCTGGCCAAAGTACCATTGAACAGGCATACAGCTAGCCTTGTAATACACAAAGTACATACCATGATTAGCGATTTTAATGAATTGACTAAATGAATGGAGATCGTAAATGTATGCATGCTCTTATCGTTGCTTATCGATTTTTTTTCAAAAAAAAAGCTTTTACCAATTTAATGTTTTCGCGCCACCGACTCATTTTCTTTGAATATTTTAGTTTTTGGAAATGTAACAAGCATTTGTCGAAAGCTATAAGTCCGAAGAATACTACAGAGAGATAGAAATACAAGCTTTGATTGTTTGTATAAGTTGGTGTAAACATTTGGATTATATTTAATAATTGTAAAAATGTATGTATGGTTTTTATGAAAATCGAAACTTAACTTTAGTTTAATTTTTAATTCATAACATTTTCGGTACTATAACGAGCAACAAAGGCTGTTACGTCGAACTTACGTTGACAGCCTTTGTAGTTCATATAACGGATCTTACCAAAAATTGCTCTATTACGATAGGCACCATCATGTAAACCACCAATTGAGAACATGCAGCCTAAAATAATAATTAATTCATATATTATTCTCAGAAAGTGATGATACATAGTACAAGATACAAGATAGCTAATACATGTAAGCTGTATCTTTACATTTGTATGAGTGGTCATTTGTAAAAAATATGATTAAAACTATTATACAAATGTATATTCAGGTATTTTAGAATTATTTAAAATATTTAAAACTCACCCACATAACCTTTGGGATCTCTGCCGTCTAAACTGTACTTGTCATTTAAATAAATGGCAGTTTCTAGCGCCTCTTCTGGTGAGTTGGACCATTCCAGTATCTTTTTTGCCCAATACTTACGAAGAAATGCGTGCATTTTGCCTTCACGCAACAACTGTATTTGGGCTGCATTCCAGAGGTCATCGTATGTATTTGCCTTTTCAAATTCGGAAAGTTTATAGGAGGGGTTGCGCTCGTCATCGCGGTGTTCATCGAGTGTTTTAAATGCCCACGAATATAGCCCGTTAAGATTGTCGTAGTTTTTATTGTAATAACAGAAATTGTCCGCCAATTCGCGATGTATAATTGCCTCTTCACAAAAGGCTTCCACAGATTTTTGGCATTTAAATGAGTAACGCTTAACTTCCAGAACACAACGTTGCGCGGAAATTTGACCTAATATTAATATATATACATATTTATAAATTTAAAGGAACAGCAAATACATTTACCAAAGTGAAGCCATGGCGACAATCCCGACAATGCATTTGCTGTTGGGTCATCACGTTTATCGCCATAAATGGGTAAACGTTTAGTACAAAAGCTCTGCAATTGCTCACATGCCGCCGTATAACCCGATTTTGCCCACTTTACAACACCCACCGAACAATCACCATCAAACCAATTTCGAGCCTTCTTCCAATCTGCACGTTCGAAATTCAAAATATTCTTATTATGTGGATGTTTTATTACTGGTGGAAATTCCGTGAGAAATTCATCCAGTATCGGATAAATCCTACGACGCATATAAAAAGGCACAAACTCTTGTTTATGGGAAGCTACCCATAATGGCACTATATTGTGTGCATCAACCTGGGTAAATGGTATGTCCGAAGGTAAAACTAATTTGACTTCTTCTACACGTTGTTGTTGTTCACGCAAAGGCGAAAAATCACAAACAATAGCGGAGATTTCATGCAAGCGTACAAATTCTGACAAACAACATGCTGTTGATCCAAAACATAAGTGCAAAGGGATTAATAGTTCATGGAGTTCGTGTTCTAGTTCTTCCAAACCAGTCAATAAGAATTCATATTGGCGCTTTGTGATATTCGCATCTTGTGGTGTAATACAAAATGCAATTAAAAGTGGTAGTTCAAATTTCAAAGCTAATCGTTGTGCAAATAATAATGCCCAATTGTCTTGCACCCGTGCATCACGTGACATCCAATAGAGTATACCGCCGCAATGGACATCACTTACTTTATCCTCAGCACTTAATACTCGAACGCGTTTCTTGTTAAAAGGAAATGCAGATATACTCTTTGCTGTGGACAAGCGCCTTTGGTTGAGTGACTGCTTTGAAATGAGTAGTTGTGGTGATATATTGGTGCAAGGTCGTGATATGTCCTCTTCTTCACTTGAACTTGCAGACTTAGCTTCCCTGCGAAGATTATATTTTCCCTTCAAACGCTTCATTTTTATAACAATTCAATAAAAGCTTCTTTTCATTGGGTGATTTTTTCCAAACTTTGAGTTGCTTTACAAAATCTTATTCAAATGCGCGCTTTTACAAGTATATTTCACAACCATGTAAAATATTTATTACATATAATAACATATCGATTAAGCTTTTTAAACGTTATCGAAATCTATTTATTGGTTCTATTAATAATGTAGCCTGATAAGTATGAAAGCTTTGTAATGAAAACCTCAAATATAGCATGATTATCTAAATTTAAAATTTCCTAAACGACGAAATATCAAAATCACAATTTATAGATGATGTATGCATATTGAATAAGTATATAAGTCATTTGTTCGACACTTATAAAAGCTCGTTGAGCATAATAATCGACTACTAATGTGTGTCTTGTAAAAAGCTTTTACCCATCTTTAATATATTTAGTTCCGACTTATTGAAAAATGAAACGGGCGCGTAAATAATTTCCGGGCGGGTTTAGCGCAAAATAAAGTGTTTTAAGTTTTAAATTTTTAATTCTATTGTATGAAAAAATGTAATTAATGAGTTTGAAGTAATTTGAATGTTTATAAAACTATTTCTGCATAATTTAGCTTTTATTTTTAACAAATTGTGTAGCAAAATTCCAATGCACATATAAAATATGCCTTAATTCCAATGACAGCAATAAATTACAAATGGCGAGTTTTCCTCATTTGGAATATTTGGATTACGTTACAAAGTGCGTCAAATAGCTAATAGTTGTATTTGCAATAATTTAATATTTAACTAGAAGGATTCATATGAGAAAATGTATCTTTCAAACAAATATATGAATGTACATTTTTATTTAGTTCTTCAACCGTTGAACAACCACAAAGACTTCGCAAACCCTGAAAAAAGAACAATTCTTAGTGCATTTCCGTTTCCATTGCGTGACGTGAACAATTTTCAGAGATAAGTAATTTAATAAATTTAGCAGTGTTTCGATTAATTTCTTAATATTAGAATTATCAGATTAATTAATGTTACATTCATACAAAAGTGATAAAATTTACATGCATGATACTCTTAGGGGAAGTTAAATGTTTGCAAACTTATAAATGTATACTCCACAACAGTATAATAATAGTTTGCTAAATAAAGGAAACCGCTCCCGGTAAGTTCGCATTTAATATTTTTATTATACCACCCAAACTAAATTTACTATCCAAAGATATGCAGTAACCATATTGTCCTGTCGCAACATTCTTGGAACTGGAAGAATTCAATTGAATCTCCATTATACATACATATGTGTTACCTTGCATTGTTTAATCTTAACATAATTCATGCTTCAAACAGTCACCGATGCAAAACCGTAGACCGATTCAGCTTATAAATGAGCTGATTGCTCTTTTGCAACGCAGGGTTGCCAGTATTGTTATTATATAGGATTTTAGTTTTGAGCTTTTATATTATGAAAATATATAACTAAAAAACTAAATGTGTGAAAAATCGTGTATACATATTATACAATGGCAACATTGATCAAATGGGCATAACTTTTGGCAAATTTGGTTTGATACGGTCGGTAAGTGTGGAAGGGCGGAATGTCGGTGACTGTTTCCAGCATGAGAATGGAAAATTTATTCATTCATTGTGTAGAGAATGCAAATATGTTGTTTTTTTTAATGAAACATTTATCGATAACGATTATATACCATACATATACAGATCTTGGCATATAAAAAGCATAAAAATCGATTACTCAATATCTGACTAATGAAACACCCATCCCTAAAACTTTTAGTTCCGACTTATGGAAAAACGAAACGGATGCGTAATGGATTTCCGGGCGTTTTTATTCAGTGTTTAATTATTTGTGTTATAAAGATTATATTCTGGTACATGCTATAAGCTCTGTTTTAAATAATTATGTTCAGAAATCTATTTTTGCATAAATTTGCAATTATCTTCCGAAAATTTGCATAGGAAAATTCCAATGCACGAATAATGTGCCTTAATTCCAATGAAAGCATAAAATGGCGTTATTTCTACAAGTGGAATATCTGAATTATGTTGTAATGTTAAAACATGTATGACACACAAAATGGCAGATAAGCATTAATAGGTAAATTATTTAATCCGAAGCATTAAGAAAGCTTAAATTTTAATTTTTATAGTTTAGCTATGGATTAAGATATTAGACAAAATAAAAATTTAGTTACTGTGAGCGAATAAATTTGTTTGTGCTTTTTTCAACATATGCTTTTAAATACACAAAGAACTTCGTATTACCTACAATGTGCATATGCTAAAAAAAATCGTATACAATTTTTACATGAGTGAGCCCAATAGTTATATGGAAAATTACATTTTCAGAAGATTTATTATTATACAGAAAACCGCTTTCGGTAAGTGTGCAATTAATATTTTGTACTTTATAGTATTATTTAAAAGTATTTTTTTATATTACATTTTTCATTAATACATAGTTGCTCGTAACATAAAAGCTATACCTTTCGAATTTATACAATGCCACATAACACATATAAATCAGTTTAAATTAGTGACTATCATATGAAATAAAAAACAATTATCTATTTCCTCTACCCTTTATTTGTAGTAAATAACTTTAGTGCTACAAGTGAAAAATACTCATATGTATATGCATATGTACATATGTACATATATTGAGAGTACAAAAAAACGTTTCGCTTTTTTAATAACAATTAAGGTACATGTATATTCTTATAATCATCCAGTGAGATTTTTTAAATTCAAATGAGTATATATACATAAATAAAAAATAAAAACAACGTTTACTTGGACTTATATACTTTGCCGCCATAACGTGCCACAAAAGCCGCAACGTCGAATTTTCGCTGACATCCTTTATAATTCATGAAACGTATTTTTCCAAAAATTGGTCGCTCAGCCCATCCCTGATCATGCACGCCTCCAATCGACCACATACAACCTACAAATTTATATTTTTACTTGAAATTTTCTGTTATCAGCCGTTACACTTACCAACATAGCCGTTAGGATCTAAACCATCCAAACTATATTTATCATTTAAAAAAATTGCAGTTTCTAGAGCCGCTTCGGGTGTTGAAGACCACTCCAGGATCTTCTTTGCCCAATACATACGAAGAAAACCATGCATTTTGCCTTCACGCAACAACTGTATTTGTGCTGCATTCCATAGATCGTCGTGGGTACGAGCTTGCTCAAACTCAGCCAATGTGTAAGAAGGTGAGCGCTTATCTTTACGATGATCTTCTAGCGTTTTAGCTGCCCAAGCATGTAGACCTTTGAGACTGTCGTAGTGTTCATTGTAATAACAGAAATTATCCGCCAATTCACGTCTTACAATAGCTTCTTCGCAAAACGCTTCCACTGATGCTTTATATTTCGATTTTAGTCTCATGACTTCGAGAACGCAGCGTTGAACAGAAATGTGGCCTAAATTAAAACAATAGATTAATTGCAATTGCATTCTTCGGATGTACTTTTTTAGACCTGTGGTTTTTGAAAAATTAGCATAAATAGCTAATTGCATATTTACCAAAATGAAACCACGGTGAGAGTCCGGATAACGCATTTATAGTTGGATCGTTTCGCTTCTCATTGAAAATTCGCAAACGTTTTGTACAAAAGCTCTGCAATTGTGCGCAAGCAGCTATATAGCCTGGTTGAGCCCAATCAACTTCATCTACTGAACGATCGCATTGTAAGGACGCCTCGGCACCTTTCCAATCTATTGGTTCGTAATTTGCAATTATATTCTTATTGTGTGGATGCTTTATAACTGGTGGAAATTCTGTGAGAAACTCCGCTAGTTTTGAATTAATTTTTCCACGTATAGTGCGCGCACCATATTCTTGTTTGTCGGAGGCTACCCACAATGGCACCACATTGTGTGCATCCACTTGTATAAAGGGAACTTCAGTGGTTAGATTTTCCTTTACTTCTTCCACCCACTGCTGTGGGACACGAAGTGGCGTAAAATCACACACCAGAGCGCTTATTTTGTATTTATTCACTAACTCTGGTAAACATTCCCTTGGCGTGCCTAAGCATAAATGTAAGGGTATACTCAGTTCGCGACATTCGTGCTCCACTTCTTTTAAGCCACCAAATAAAAACTTATATTGACGCAATGTGGCATTCAAATATTTTGGTACAAGACAAAATGTAACTAAAAGTGGTAATTTGAGTTTTAGAGCCAAACGTTGGCTGTATAAAAATGCCCAATTGTCCTGAACGCGTACTTCGCGCGACATCCAATACAATACACCACCGCAGCGCGATTCAGACACTTCCTCGACGGTATTAAGTACGCGAACTCGTTTTTTATTAAAACTAAAGTCAGCAATGTTTTCAGCTGTTGCTAAACGGCGTTGTTGTAAAGATTCTATTGAAATTATACTTGATGCTGCCTTTTCGTTAATTGCAGCTGGTGAAATACTATCATTATTCGCATCACTTGCACTAGAAGCAGCAGATTTAGTTTTCTTCAGCTTTGCTACCGCATTGGGTGTGCTCTTAACACGCTTCATTTTAATTTTTAATTAATTTTAAGAAAAAACACTTTCCGTTTAACGCAATTTGTTTATTTGCCAGAGAGAATGCAATTTTTGCATTTTAGTTTTAGAGAGGGGAGAATTAGTTGTTTGGATTATCGGAAAATTGTTATCGATTTTTTCAAATTTAACGTTTCAAATTACTTATTTAAATTGACATCGTACTTATCGATTAAACATGTTGAGCATTTCCAATTTGAATTTAAAGGAAAATTCAAATATTTGAAATTTGATACATATGTACATACCATACATAAATAATTATTCCTGATACATATGTAAGCGCCAATACAAGAGCGACAAACCGTCACCATATAAACTCACTATAATTTACAGCTCTTGTATTTAATGCACACATGTAAAATTATGAAGTAATAAGCCAAGTAATGAGTGGCAATAAAAGCCAATCTAAGCAATCGACTTAAATTTATGTGCAGATATGCCACAGTATGGAAGTAATTTGTAATTAGTTCAAGTATACAGCTACTCCAACAAACATTGAATATTAACCGTACGTTATGTATCAAATTATGTTGCTTATTTCATGGAATATTCATGATAAGCTTAGTGAAAATTTTGCAAAGCGCATGGCACGTAAAGATTTTATTTTCAATGATGTATTGCAATTCAGGGCAATGCCGAGACGTTTAAAAATTTTTCAACATAATTTCGCTCAAGACTTTCGTTGGCTGCCATCAATACTTGTTGTAAAGGCTTTCTTAATAATTACCGAAAGCACTTTCTTTTGAATTTTTATCTGACAACATAATGTTATGTTTGACATTAACTTAATTTGGTTATATAGTAGCGCCGCTTTATGCTGGCTGGATGTTTTCCTATTGGTTTTTATGTTAAGTGCATTGTGGCGTTTGAAGCAATATACACATCAACTATTATTCATAACGGCTATTAGACAACACGAGGCAACAATACCCGAACAAACTGGCATAATTAAAGAAGTTTGTTTTTTTTTGTTTTTGTTTCATTATAAAAACTGTAGATAAATATGTAAGTATATACCAATTTCTAGCTCGATGCATTTTTATCATCTCATTATTTGAAACCTTATACTTTATATCTATATCCAATTTTACAGCGCATGAGTTGTCTTCTTACCTGGTCTATTTGGTGGCCTGTTGTATTTGGACTCTTTATAACCCGCATAAATCCAACAAATTTAACATTTATACGTGATTTAACTCAATAAATTAGAAGAAATATATGTTACTTTTGGTTTTTGTTGTTGTAGCAGCAGAAAACATACCTGCTGTAATTTGGAGGAATACTGTAGTTGACAGATAATAATCCAGTTACGTTGCGGTTACGTAGACCCGACTGTCGTCGGCTTTTTATCTTATTGGTGTGTGTAGTTAAATTTAAAATCAATGAGGTCTGTTGTTTGCTTTTTTATACCCTGATCACACGGGTATATTAAGTTTGCCACGAAGTTTGTAATACCCAGAAGGAAACCTCGGATACCCTATAATATATATATCTAAATGATCGCTGATCACCACGAACTGATCGAGAGACTAGTTCGCGTATATACAGACAGACAGACAGAAATTGCTAAATCAACTTGTCTCGTCCTTCTGTGTGTTACAAACTTCGTGTCAAACTTAATATACCTTTTCATGGCATAATGACGTGAAGTTTTTAACGAATAATACTAAACCTAACCTAAAACTAATTGGGGGAAAAAACTTCAATTTTTTTTGTATATAGTTGTTTGTATATATATATATTTTCGCAATTTAATTTGTTTTATAAGTACATTACAATACATTTCAAATTTCGATTATACGATGTTCTTTGTTGTTGATTTTTTATTTTATTGTTTATTTATTTTATTTATTTTTTGTTTTTAGGTAATAAGTTTGACTACTTTGTATTTGACTGGAATTAAAAATTACATATTATATAATTTTCATATAAATAAACACATATCATTTGATATACAAGACATATGCGCGTTTTACATACTCTTCACATATACATACATACATTTTACTGTAATTGTAACTGATACTAAATGATACATTTGCATATTATTTGAACTAGATTTACAATTGTTTTTCAAACTTTAAATTGGAATTTTTATTTATATTTATAATTTGTTTGTTGTGTTTTTTGGTATGTAGTACTTTGTTGTTGTTGTTTCGTAATTTTTTTTTTGTTGCTATATGTGCGGTATTGTGTATATGACAATTTGAAGACTGAAACAGTTTATATGCACTTTATATATATGTATTTGCTTGCAAATATATATGTATATAAATGGATTTTCAATGGAATTTAATAAAGTTGTAGGTTAGTAGTTATATGTAAGGGTTGAAAAGTGTATAGAAAAGTAAATTTTGGTTTGAGCAGTCGGTAAACCATATTTTAAAGTAATATTATATATTAAAGAAGCTAGTATTAATAATAAACGATATTTTGCCCCCAGCAAAGTAATTTTTTTGGCTAGAATTGCTATACATTTATAATTAAAATACATATATATAAAATTTGCTGTAAACACACAAAATTGTTATAGATGCCACAGTTTAACTAGATATTAAGCTCGTTTTGCAAATTACATATTTGTAATTATATAAAAACTTAAAATGTTTCTTGGTCACTTATATAAAATAAAAACACATCTACAAATACAAGTGTTGCATACCTGCAGGCGCCCTGTTAGTTTTTTGACGTACTTTATATGGTAAATCTGTGGTCATTGTAGTCTTCAATGCCTGGCTTGAAATCTTAAAAAATGAACCAAGCCGTGGCTGCAGATTTTCAACAATTAGGGCATTTCAGTCACAACAAAACAGTTTTATTGTTGAATTTCGTATAAGCTTTTGTTGTAATAGGTTAAATATAAAAAATTATGCTAAAATTAGGATTTCAAAAGCTATAGAAAAAAAATTCGACTTGGCAAAAATGATGAAATCTATGTATGTATATTGCAAGTGTCAAAAAAAATATATTTTTTTTATAATATATAGGACAGTTAAGCGATATTTAGTTAGTTGGAGGAATTTTTTACACAAAAACAATTAAATTAAATTTAAATTAAATAAGACAAAAAAAAATTAGCTAACAAATTAAAGTACGTTAAACTGAAAATTTTAAAAAATTCTGCAATAAAAATAAATAAGTTTGAAAATTGCACACATAGAAGTAATGAGTACAATAAAAAATAGATATATGTGTCAACAAATATTAGGAAATTTTTTACTTAGCGCGATATTTACAAAATTATAAACAAAATTATCACAATTAACAAAAGCGCGGATAGTATGAAAATTGCAGCCCACTGACGTTTATCTGTGAAGAAGAAATAAATAAATAAATAAATGTACGCAATAATCAATTTCAATTCATACAATTACAAGCGTCGCACACTCACCATTATTCATGTGCAATACTTTGGCAACTTTTTTCATTGTTGTATCCAATTTGGATTCCGTTGTATCGAACTCATTACCAAAATCATCGAGCATGCTGTAGAGATGAGAAAATAATATTGAATGTTATTATTTACATATGCAGTAGAGCTTTATTACAACATTTCTAAATAGTTGTGACTTACACAGCCTGCTCGTCCAACTCCACGCCAATCTGTCGTGATACAGTCTTTAACGTTCCAATGGAATCACTTATCATATCTAGTTGTTCATCTTGTCCCTGCATCATGCGCTGCTGCACCGATACCGTTTCGCCCACGTAACGATGCCCCGGACTATCCAACGATGCATAATGACCCGGACTATCTACGGTATTTTCCAATTTAGAGTACTTTGTACCGCTGTGACGTTGCGCCGCTGCTGCCATTGTACCGGCAATTGTATTGGCCACACCGCTGCCTGCGCTGCTGATCAAAGAATTCTGCTGTAAGAGACCACTGCCGCTGCCAATGCCACCGTTCGTACACTCAACCAAATAGGTTTTATCACTGATACCGTGATGATGATGATGATTATGGTGCTGCTGTTGCTGTTGTTGTGGTTGTTGTAGTTGATTATGATTATTGTGATGATTAGTACTATTTAGGCTGTTGTTGTAGTTGTTAATATAATTACTATTGCCGTTCTGATTATTTTGATGATTAATTTCGTTATGATTGTGTTCATCAAGTAGTGGTTGATGTGCCGTTATATCTCTGTCCCTGTTCGATTCAGGCTCATCTTCTCTTTCATCTGCCGGACTTCATCGCGTGTATTGTCGATGAAATGCCGACGACTCAAAAGCTCACGATTATCAATGCGAAATTTGTTCGGATTCTTTTCAACTATACGTGCAGTCGCGGGGTTAAGGAAGACCTTCTATAATTAATTTGGTCTAGTGTGGGGTGCATAAGTAGTGACATATGTAGTTTGTATATAAGTTGTGTAGTTATATAAAAATGTAGGAAGTAATGTACGGAAGTGCACAAAGAGAATATGATCTATATGCTGTGTTAATTCTCACACACTGCCCATGGGAGACTGGTCAGCTTAGCAGAAAAGAACTTGAAAGGTATATACATACAAATATACATATTTACATATATGCAATGCAACATACGGGCAATGAGAAGAACAACAACATGAAGTTAGTTTCAGAAATATTATGATCTTATCACATCGTAAATCTGTAACATATTTACATATATAGAAAATAGAGGTATAGGAAGTACTCCGAGCACTACCTAATTTTACCCAGTACTTAATATACGCTATGTTTGCCTTGAATTTCCGAGCACAGAAGAAAACGTGTGTGACCGTAAAAATATATATATAAAATAATCAACATGACGAGCTGGTCGATTTATTCATATCCGTCCGTCTGGCCGTCTGTCTGTATATATGCGAACTAATCACTCAGTTTTTGAGATATCGATCTTAAATTTTGTACACGTCCTTTTTTGCTTAAGCAGCTACTCATTGATATGAACCGTCGATATCGGACAACTATAGCATATAGCTGCCATACAAATTGAACAATCAAAGACAAGTTCTTGTATGGAAACTTTATATTTGACAAGATATCTTCATGGCATGAATTTGGCATGAAATATTATTCAAACAACAGTACAATATCTGAACAAATTGATCAGATCGGATCACTATAACATATAGCTGTCATACATGTTGAACGATCAAAATCAAGTTCTGTATGGAAACTTTGATTTACGAAGGGTATTACAGCTTCCTGCAACCGAAGTTAATATTTCTTTGTTTTTAAATATTTAATTTTTCAAATACAAGTAACATTATTCAATAAACAGAAATTATGAAGCATTCTCCTTAAAAAAAAAACGTATTATATAAAAACATCTATCTTTTGCGCTGCCTCAAATACCAGTCAATAATCATAATTCAACTATATCTTAGGGTTAAACATTATCATAATCATTCACCTAGAGGACAGACCTATAAAGCCAATGGACATCAGGTTTCAACATGTGAACCAATAATGACTAGGAAATTTATGTTACCGTTGTAAAGAGCTTAAAAGTTGTAAAAGATAGTGCAGCAATAAAACTATAACTGATAAAAAACGATATATAGCGGTGCACCGAAAAAAATATATTATATATAAGCTATAATGATAAGCATTCATACGCATTTTGCAATTATTCAATGCGGTTAAATTGAAATTGATTTTCAAAATTCCTGTCGCATTTGCACTATTAGAGGCTATATACATGTAAACACATATACTTGCATACCTAAAGTACCTAAGTATAGCTTTGTTCATCGGTTCAGTGCTCATGGACTATGTCAGCTAATCTATTTGCATAGCTGACAATTTAGCGCGTCGAATAAATAATAGAAATGTCAATATTTGCATTGTTTAGCTAAGATTATGCGACCAATATGAATATGAAAGCTATATGCAAACTTACCAACACACACACACATACATATGTTACATGCACCTAAATCGCATTTGTACACACACACACACATGTGTATATATTTACAGAATTGTGAATTTGTGGCATTTGTGTTATTTAAAAAAGGATATTAATTGTGTCCTCCAAATCTTCCAAGTCCCATTCAATGCTACGCAATGAGTTTCTTAACTCGGTTGTAGTCCATTCAACTTCAGCGCTGCCGCTACTATCGCTCAACTCCGCCAACGCAAATATAGGCGCGAGTTTTATTTAATGCTTTGAACACCTCGCTACCAGTGTCAAAAGCGCCCACACAGCCATTAGTAAGTAGTTAGTTGATCCGGCAAATCAAAACCACCACCAGCGCCAACCGCAATTCAATTTAAATAAATAACAGCGTAATAGGTATGCCACACATTACAAGCGGTATTGAGAAATATGGAATTTAAGAGAGAAAAACATAGCATAGTTGTAAAATGTGAATATTTTTAAAAACATATTAAGTGTATGCTGTGTAAAAAAATGTAGTAAAATTATTTACGCACTCCTTCACCACGAAGAATGGATCTTCTAGAGACATGACCCAGGTCTGTCGTATATATGCGCTGATTCCAATACTACAATGCGCGTTTATACGGCGAATTTACTGAATTTAAACAAAATGCTGCTTTTCAATGCTCTAGCTTTATGCTTGCAATGTCAACGCAAATGTTTGTTTTTGTTTTTAGATTTTCTATTTTTTGAAATTTATGAGTGCGGCTTTTTTTTGTATTTTATATTTTGTTAGTATGTTTTCCCCCTTTAAGATTTGTGAAAACTTTTATAGATTTTCCTGACGCATGGGTGACGTGCACATCACATATATAAGTATGTAAGTATTTACATACATGTACGCGCAACACTTTAGACCCACTTAGTCGTAATCAGCTATATAACTTTTTTCGTTTTGTCTTGAAATTCATTAAATTTGTTATTCTTTTCCACACATCAATTTACAAACAATTATTTTCTTTTCCTCTTTATTACGGAAGCTTATATTACGGTTTTATTTTCGCATTAACAATCTAAACACTTTTAGTATACATAGCAACACATCAGTCTCTTAATGCCGTTTTCTTTAAGCCTTCTTGTTTGATAGCTGATGTATCGGTAAATATTTTCAGTAATTTTTTGTTGCTTCATCCTTTGGCCATTGGAATTTCGCAACATTTTTCACTTGCTTCGCCGTGGTTTGAATAAATTGCACTTGAAGCACTTTTCAAGTTGTTGTGTGTGGAGAAAATGTTATATTTTCTTTCTGCTGTTCACAACTCTTTTAAAATATAAACGAATACGATTCGTATGACCGTGTATTTGTGCTGTACGTTCTGCTATCGTCCCGCGTTCTTAGCTAACTAAATTCTTATATCTCACACGCATTTTCCGTTTAGAACCATCCACCAGCGGTGTTCATATACATATATAGCACCCCACTGTTTATATGCTTTTGGGCTAGCGCGCGCATGACTGTGTGGGTATGCACATATATTGGTCTATATCAATGAGTTGGTAGCGAAATTCTGTGTGCAAATATATACTTTGACCCATTGCCTTCCAACCACCCTATGGTCAGTGCATTACAATGCGTGCGAAAATAACATTTCACCTATTTATACAAAATGTGGCCTCACTTACAAGCTTTTATTACATATAATTGCAAGTTATTGATTCAAAATACATTACCTTATTTATATATGTGATTTTCTAAAGTATTTACCTTAAAAATTATAAATAATTTTTTGTGACTCCTTCCTACTGCTGCGGCTCGTTTTCACTTTCGCGCTACTATTTAATCATGCCGTTTTGTGATCTCTCCCGAAGCGTGTTTATATTTTCTAAATTGCCATTGAGTCTGCGCCGGAAAATGCTTTGTTTTTCCTCTTCTCCTTCAACAATAATTTTCAGAAAATTTCTAACTTTTCGCGTAGTTGTGTTTTTGTTATGACATAAGAATTGTCAAATTGGCTAAACGAAGTGGTTGCCACCGCAAAGCAATTTCTGCCTAAATTTGTTAATTTAGGGGTATGCCGAGAATATTTAATAATATTTAAACTTAAGTAGCTTGTTGATATTCCAAAGAACTAATTAAGTTGCAAGACACGTACATTAATTTACAACATATTTTCTAACATTTTTATATATCATCGGTAATACACGAGTTGAAAAAAAATACACAAATACATTTTTAGAACCTAAAACTTACAGTTCAAAGAATATTTTCAATTATTTTGTTTTACATGCATTAAAAAATTTATTAGTATTTGAATTAATTTTTTTTGTATTTTGTAATCTCGAAGTTTTTAATTAAAAATAATTTTTAAACTTTTAGTCCCAAATATAGAAAAAATTCCAAATACGGGAATGAAAAAAAAATTATAATCCCCAAAAATTTTTCAGTTTAATTTTAAAAATTTTAATCTCAACATCGAAATTAAAAGTTGAAATTTTAATTTATAAGTAAAGCTGTTGGTATTACAAATATAAATATAATTTTCAGACAAAATTTTTGAATTAAATTATTCGCAACCCTGATTCTCATATAATTCTCATAACATACAAAACTAGCAAATCGCACAGCGTTTTAAATAATATACTTAAAGTAACTGTAATGCAATATTTTTAAAATATAATTTCTTGTTACAGTCTATAAATATTCCTTTTCTATCTTTGAGCGTAGATCTGTCATATGCCATTCATGTTCTTCTTCCATTTGCTTTATGCGAAGCTGATACTCGGTTCCTTGCTGGAATTCACACTTTTGATATTCTATTTCTTTTGAAACACTGGTTTTTTGCAATTCAATGAGTTCCAATTTTGCCGCAGTCAAATTTTGTATTTTAGATTTGTCACTTTGAAGATTGTTTGTTGTTTTTTTCAGTGTAGATATACCAGCTTGCAGATTGAATGCGGATGATTTTAGTTTTGGTAAAGTTTCGTTATCATTTTCTTCCGAAGAAACATATCTAAGGAAGGACTGTTAAAAACCCCTTTAGATATTGAAACTTTTACAGAACCTTCTTCACTTTCTTGATCGATGATAGAATCTACCATATATACCAAATATAATGTAAAAAGAGAAAAAAAATAAACATTTATTTTCATAGAAAAAAAACAGGAGAAAACGTTAACTCCAGTTGTACCGTAGAGTTAGAATACGCATTACAAATAAAAAGTTTCCATACAAGAATCTCGATTTAATCTGTCAGTTTGTATGAAGCTATATGCTATAGTGATCCAATTCGAACAATTTGTTCGGAGATTGTATTCGTGAAGATATCTTGTCAAATAAAATAATAAATAAATAGAAGGGCATGATCTTGATCGTTCAGTTTGTATGGCAGCTATGGTATATGCTATAGTGGTTCGATATTGGCAATAATTCTGCAGAGAAAAGGATGTATGCAAAGCTTTAGATCGATAACTCAAACATGAGAGACTAGTTCTCGTATATACAGACAAACGGACGGACAGACGAACATGTATAAATCTAATCTGCCTAATAGAGTCTCTGAATTTTACTTTTGGATGTTACAAACTTCGAGGCAACTTAATATACCCTGTTGCCGGTATAATTGAAATAATTAAATTAATTTCTTTATTTTGTAATCCCGAAAATGTAATTAAAAATAATTTCGCATTTCTTGATCCGCAAACACTGGATTGAAAAATTAAAAATCAATTTTTTATCCCATTTATGGGGTTGAAAAAAATTTGAACTCAAGCATATAATTAAAAATTGAAAAATTAATTGTTTAAGAATTTAAATTTTTCGCGTTAGCGCTACTTCGTGTTTACCATTTAGAGAGCCCGTGCAACCATTATCTTCAAAATCTAGAGTGGTCGGCAAACTAACACATTCAAACATTTATATTTGATAAATTTTTAGTTGTGATTTTGTGGCCAAAAATTAAATTTTTTACGTTTTAATTCTGATTTTGGCATTAAAAATTATATTTTAAATTTTTAATTACGATTTTTTAATTAAAAATTAAATTTAAAATTCCAAAATTTTCCAAAATTTTTATAATTTGAATTTTCGCCATCCCTGAACAGCCTTTAAAAAACATAATTATAAAGAATATATTAAGATTCTAAACAAGTTTTATTATGTAAAATTTAAGTAGTGTGTTAATTTTAATCATGTGATAACTTACATAGAATTATGTGCCGACAAGTACATGGAAAACATGGCTGTATACAAATATTTGCATACATATGTACGATACATACCAGAAAATTTCCGGGAATTGTTGGCCCACAATTCCAGCCGTTTAACGCTCAACTAATACTCTTTATGACCGTCTGTCCCGTTGGAACGAATTCATGATGAACCAAACCGCGAATATCGAAAAGAAAAAACAATTTCCGGAAATTTTCTAGTCTTAATGACAATGTTGCTACAGAGTAAGTAATCAAAGATTCGAAGACCAAAAAACTCGTTCAATACATCGATCAAATATCGTATTCACCGATTTGGCCCATGCGACTTTTTTTGTTTCCAAAACTCAACTGGAACCCGTTTCACTCGATTGAGGCCGTAAAGCAATTCGCATCTTCTTTTTTTTGTGTTTGGGTGT